TAGGATGTATTTGTTTAATATGGGTATCAAATTAAAGCTGTTCATGAGTGCTTTAAGATTGAGCACTTTTCATATAGCTGGGTGACTAGGGTCTCGAGATACAGACCAAAACGTGGACCCGGGTAACCTTAGGATGTATTTGTTTAATATGGGTATCAAATTAAAGCTGTTCATGAATGCTTTAAGATAGAGCACTTTTCAAATAGCTGGGTGACTAGGGTCTCGAGATATAGACCAAAACGTGGACCTGGGTAACCTTGGGTGTATTTGTTTAATATGGGTATCAAATGAAAGCTGTTCATGAATGCTTTAAGATTGAGCACTTTTCATATAGCTGGGTGACTTGGGTCACGAGATACAGACCAAAACGTGGACCCGGGTAAACTTAGGCTGTATTTGTTTAATATCGGCATAAAATGAAAGCTGTTATGTCAAAAGTATGCGGAAGCAAATAAAAAAAAAATTAAAAAATTCATGAATACCGTTTTAGTGAAAAATAAAATTGAGTAATGCGGACAGTTCTTTAATCTTCTTTAATATAAAAATTAATATAAAAATAAGTAGGGTTTTCCTTCCTGACGCTATAACTCCAGAACGCACGAACCGATTTTCACGGTTTTGCATTCGTTGGAGGTTTATAGCTAGGAAAATTCAGGAAAAATTTCAATAGAAAAGTATATGGTGTGTGAGTATCCCCCACGAAAATAAGTATGTTTCATTTAAAGTAGATGGTGCCATTGTTTAACAGCTATTCATTGTACTTTGCTCAGTTAATTTCATGTGACACTAGCGAATACCCGGCGTGCTTCGCTGCGCCTTAAAAGTAATTTTGTTTTGTTACTCCCTCTCACAACATTTGAAAATATTATTTAATATTGCTGTACATATTTGTATAGTAGGGAGATTTTTTCAAATTATATAAATATACGTTATTTGAATATTGAATCAATACACGTTTGAGGAAAGGGTGCGATAGTAGACTCCAGTTATAAGATTATAAATTAAATTTCCAAGAGAAAGTCGGTTCTTTACATATTTTCTAATTACCTTCGAAAATATATTAACTCAAAAAAAAAATAAACAATGCTTCATAGATCGATTTTTTTAAATCTAACTTCATAAAGTTCTTTAAAAATATTTTGTAAATGAGGCCATAAGAGCTTAGGGGGAGAGTTACAACACAAAAATACATTTAAGGCGCAGCGAAGCACGCCGGGTAATTGCTAGTAATTTATAAAATTTTATAAAATTTAATTTTTTTTTACAAAACGTACAATAACTTTAATTTTCGAAATACATAGCTGGTAACCCCGCAAGAATGAAATTCGAAATATTGCTTTTCAAAACCTCTTTCGTTGGA